ATACACCATACACACGAAACTAGTATAAGTAAACATACAGATATGCACCAGTGAATGTATGAATTTAATGGTGGTGGTGGGACCGAAAAAAAAAAAAAAAAAATGATGGACGTACCCACCCCCCTTCTCTCCATCTCCACGTACCTTTTTTTTTTTTTTGTTTCTTTCTTTCCTGTCGCCTCGCAAAAATACAGGCCCCCTCCCTCCCTCCCTCCCCTCCCATTTCATTAGTGGTGTTGTTTATTATTTTTGGTATTTGGGCTTCTCTATCCCTCCCTTTTTCTCATATATGTTATATGTATATATATGAGATGTCTCTGTTGGCGATCCGTCTATTTCTGATCTGACATCCTGCGGGAAATAAACGTTTAATCCACGTAATCCTCTCGGATACACACAACCATATAAATATATATATATTTATACATATATATATATATATACATTAAACATATAAAAGGAGTTCTATACGCCACTGTTGCCGCAAAGAAGTGGCTGGAACGCACCATTTCGTATTCCCAAAATGTGGATTCCTTCTTTCTTTCTTTTACGTTTTTTTTATTATTATTTTTATTTACTTTTGTGCTTTCGTGGCGGCCACTAAAAAATCGGATTGCCATTCTCGTCATCATGGCTATCTCTGCTCTGGGGAGTCACCGGGGATGGAGAGATTATCGTGACGACGCGGGGTCGTGCAGGTAGGAGGGAGTTCTTGGTGGCACCAAACACTGACTTATGCTCCTGCAACAGGGAAGTCGTCTTCAGCGCCGCAGGTTGCCCCACTGTTTTTGTCGTTATGAGATTGCCATGGGGTGACGTCGTGGACGTTTTTTTCTCGTCTTTTTTTTCCCCATCCTCCTGCTTCGTCTGCGCGCGAAACAAAATCGCCACCAAACGATCTCGCTCACCCCCATCATCACTGCTACCGCTGTCGACACACCCCACACTGTTCCCCTTCTTCGTCACACTGCTCTCACCTGTTTTCTGCCCGCTTCCTCTACCTTCCCTGCCCGCATAGCCATCGTCATCGTCGCCCCAGTGGACTATTTTATTTGGATATTCCTTGTGTGTCGTCTTGGATGAGGCGTCGTTCCCCCCGACTTCCGAGCCCTCACTCAAGATATAAGGATCCCCGGCGTGTTTGCCGTCAGCGCCGTCCTCATCAGTAAACTCCACATTAAACTCCACAACATCTTCATGCGCCTCCAACGCGCCCTGCCCACTGAACTCCCCGTCATCACTTACTGCAGATATCTGCGGTTCTTTTCCTGCACTCCGTCGAATAATATGCGCGAGTACATTGCCACCACTACCACTACCACTGCCCCTAGCACCTTTACTATCACTACCAATGCCACTGTCGTTGTCATGGCTCTTATCATTAACGAGAAAACAAGGCTTCACCGCCTCTAGCACTTCAGCTTCTTTAGCATCATTGGTGAAGCTCACTGTTTTGTTTTCGTTCATTTTGAAAGAAGCGTCATTCTCTTTGTTAAACTCATTGCAGTCAGATACTTGGGTTTGCTTTTCGTCCTTCGAGGGGTGCAGCGGTTCCTCCTCTGTGTTCCTTAACGTCTCGGATACAACAGTAGGCGATACAACGACACTCGAAACGAGCACCTCATGCTGATTCCTTGTTGTTCCCGCCTCCTTCTCATCCGCTTTCTCCCTGGCATCTTCCTCCGCAGCTTCGCTGTCACTGTCACTAGTGCCCAATAGCAGCGGAGGTAACAAGGTTGGCATGGCGACAACGACGGTGGAAATCGCCCCAGCAGCTGTTTCCCTCACCGATCCCTCCTCGGGGGCACTCCAGACACTGCTATTGTTTGAATTACCTCTGCCATTCAATACCGGCAAGACCACCTTGACAGGATCGCCAGTTTCGCTCGGTTGAGCTGGAACGCGATTGATCTCTGCATCCGACTGTTGCGCCATCCCCTCAACTTCCTTCGCTTCCCTGTCACCGTGAAATTCATCCGCCTCTAATTTTTCAAGGTTGCTGTTGTTTGTCGGACGCTCAACACCCTTCTCAAGTTGTGTCGCGGAACTGGGGGTTTCCCCAGCGTTTGTTCTCTCGACCTTTTTCGACTCACCAACCCCAATTTTGTCAAATGTATTCTCTTCTGGAAGCGGAATTAAGACCCATTTGTGTTCCTGATCCTCAGGGTTTTCGTCTGAATGTTGGGGAGGCGTACGCCGTAACTCAGTCAACGGTTGTTTGAGTGCTTGAGAGTGCAACTCAAATGAACCCGGTTTGTTCTTCGCTGCCTCCCTCCTTTCTTGGCGCGTGGTCTTACTATTTGCCACTGAGTTTTTCCGTGATGAACAGCAGTTGCCCATTAAACCTCCGTTCCTTTTTTTGGGGTGGGTGGGGGTGGGGGTGGCTTTCGTTTCCTTTCTTCTTGTTCCGGGCCACTCTGTGCTTACCTTGCGCCCGCGTTTTTGAAATACTGTCACGCTCACTGGTAGAATAGTAGCGGAAGAAAGGGGACTGGCAACCGCTCTAATCAAGCCCTTTGTGCAGGCCCTTTTTCCACTGCGTCCAGTATCAATAAATATATGTGTGTGGATAGATAGATAGATAGGAAGATACCTATATGTAATATGCGTGACTGTGTGCCCACGGCCACAGCTCACTACAAGCAGAGCGAAGGAAAAAAAAAAAGAGCAATAAACCCACCAACCAACCAAATAAAATAAGCAGCATGAAGAAAGCTGAAAAGTAAAGAATGAAAAATGAGGCATATGAAAACATTTTTGGTAGTAGTAGTAGTATTATTTTGCTGACTGTGGTAGTGTACACGCCGTGGGATGCGGGATGCTATGAGTGCCACAGGAAGCGTAAAGAAGGCAAGAAAGGAAGTAGAAGAAAAACGGGGGGGAAAAAAAATGGGAATCTCAAATCCATCTATTCCCCTAGCGAATAATACGGCGACGCTTTGCGTGTGCCCATGCACCCAACGGAAAGCAAACGTTCTTTCACCTGTGCCTGCCCACTACCACGGAGACGGCAAACCACGTAACCAACCCACATCCTCCCACCTCCCCTTCAGAGCAGCCAGCCAGCAGGCAGGGAACACAGATCGCAACTAACGGAACAAACCTCAAAATGGTAACCACACCCCCACATATTTCCTTTGGCTCTGAAAAGCTCTCAGTGAATATTCTTGGAAACACCAAAACGAGGGGGACGGGAGGCACACGCCCGTCCGTCACGGCGCTCCACCGCTTTGTAACTCCTGCCATTACTTCCCCCAGAGTTAATCACACCCACAAAGAAGAGGCCTGCATTTTTCTGTGGTGTGCTCCGATTGCTCCCACCACTATGAACCACTGACAAACCTCCTCCTCCATCCCCCTCCCCTCCGATGACAAAACCCATGTCGTTGCGTTTCTCTTGTGTTTTGGAAATATTACAACCAACTCGGTTAGTCGCCATCAGATAAGAGCGCGATTGATCAATTGGCGTTGCCGCAGTAGACGTAGAATTTCCCATAAGAAGACCAAAGCGCTCTCGCCTGTTTGGACTCTGGAGAAGCTTTCCTTGCTTCTTCAGGCCAAGACCACAAACACCTTCGCTACGACTACTATCACTACTACTGCTGCTACTGCTCCATGCCACACTTCCAGGGCCTCTATTTCTTCGCCTGCTCCCTGGTTTCTTTGTTCTACTATGAAACGAGTTTGTTGAGGTGCCACCACTTTCCCCCTCAGCCCGGACGACAGATGACTTGTGGACAACTAATTTGGGCACTTGTCGAGATTGATTTATCTTTGAACTGTCTAGGGGTACTGTCGTTTCATATGGGTCTGCTGATAGCACCGCTTCATGCAAGCTGACACTGCCTCCGATACTGTCTGCGGGTGCCACGCTCTTGTCGAGGATTGGGGGTTTGGTAACTCCCCTGCCTGTTTGCTCCAGCGCAACATCGGATTCAACAAGATGCAAACGCTTCGATGCCGGGTTCCATGTTGGCACCATTTCCGGTACATTTTCCTCGGACCTCGGCGGGGAACTCTGGTCAGCTGTATTATGACTATTATTCACATTCCAGGATAAACCTTTAGTGGGAACTGACAAAAGTGAGGATGCATAATGCATGGACTGTTTGACACCAGGCGCCTGGGAGGCAACGAGAGACCGCCCACACTCCATTGCCTTGATATCACCAGGCGGCGTCACTGTGCGTATCTCACGCGGTGTGGGGCTGATACAACGGGAAGATACAAATGGAACTGGGAGTTCCATGACACCTTGGATGCCATCACCGTGGCGCCCATCTTCCACACTCGAGGTAGAGAATATCAAAGACACCGGGGGTGTATGTGCCTCATTGCCTGTATCTCTTCGCAATGTTGGAAATGATTTGTGGCTCACCGCCTTTGCAGAACAAGACTCATTCCATTGTACGCCATGGTGCGTTGCGCTGATGGAACCGCGCTCACCATAGGAGGGGAAGGAGACAGATGATACATTAAAATGAGTGAAGGCGTTGTCCTTGCCAGCTGTCTCTGGTACATGCTGGGGCTCCGCAAGGAGAGCCGAGACGGTTGGTAAGGAAGTTGGTGGTGGTGGAGACACAAGTGTGGAGCGGCGACCACTACGATTCATGGCCTCTGTTGTCGTGGCCCCCACACGATGTAGTGGATGTGCGGGTTCCCGCTTCGTTGCCCCCGCAACACTCGCAATCATGTCACGTTCAGCGTCACTGCACTGGTGTTGTGCCTCGTCCTCACGAAAAAGCCGCATAAACTGCGCATCAAGCTGGCCGCAGTAACTGCGCAGGCGAATCAGAGCCGACACATCCTCTATTCCAGCAGCATTGGGAGGAGAAAAACATTTTTTGGGCACAACGGCAGAAACGTGTGATTCAGCTGGAGGACGCGAGGTGCAGTCAGCAGTGGGAGCTGCGGTCGAGACGGCCTCACCTACACTCAAGGTGTTCAACCTTGGCTCTAGGATCGTAGGAACATTTCCCTCTGCTTCTCCAACGTTACGCATCTCCTTCCCCTCCTGGCACTGCTGGTACTGTGGCGGTGTAGGCGATGTACTTCGGTCTGTCGGGGGATGACGACCCGGGCGCGTTGTGATTTTCTCTTGGCGCGCCGAATGCAAATACGATACGGGGGACGACGAGCGTCCAGCAGCAGCGTCTCTTCTCAATGTCCCATCCACCGCCGCCGCGAGTGAGCGCCCCGTGTAGAACAAAGACACCTCGCGAGAGCCGTTGCTAGTGTGCAACCTTTTTGCGGACCATCGACGGTCCCTCAGTGAAGATGCAAACGGGGTGCTCTTCCCGGCACCATCACGGCAGCACGAAGTCGGCGTTGTGGACGTCTCACGGTTGAACTCCCCACCACCGGTCCAACAAGTTGTCCGACACACTGTTCCTTTCGTCAGGAAGTGCCTTGGTGCAAATGCAGACCGGAGGCTTCTTCCTGCATCGGCCGTTGCATCGATACTGTAGGTGTGACCACCGGACGACCCTTCGACGCTGGGGGTTGCACCGCGCCGTTGTCCCGTCAACTTCTCTGATGGCTGCGGGGGATGACCGTGACGGTGAGGCCGTTCCTCCACGTGGTGCAGCTGCGGGGGTGGGTGCTGACGCAAGGACCAAAAAAGTTCATCGTAGTCGCGCTCCAAGCGCGCCGTTTTCTTCTTCAGATATTCTGTAAAGACGCGCAGCGCGGCGGCGTCCTCGCGTGGGAATAACCCTCGCTGCGCGATCCAACGGCAAAGACGCTCCTCATCTTCTTTGATGCCGTTCCACAGTTTGTCACCCCACTCCAACGTGTCGAGGCTGGCACACTTGTCAGTGGGGGGAGTTGCCGACGTAGTGATATTTCTGTCCGTGAAGGCACCCTCCCCGCGCCCCGCGTCAATTCCGATGAACCGCGGTGCCACGTTACCACGATGTCGGGCGGCTTGGCGGTCGGGGGTATTACGCTGCTCCTCAATATCACCGCCCAGTCGCGATGCCAAAGAACAACCATGCGTACTTCGCTGCTTCTTCTCATGACGATAATAGTTTTGTTGTTGTTGCTTCCGAGGCTGGGGTGACGTCCACATTTCTTTCTCTTCTTCCTCTGCAGCCTTGGGTTGGTCGGAAAGAGGGGATGAATGAACTCCCACCTCACGACTCTTTTGCACTCGACGGAGTAGCTCACTTAAAAGTGTGGCTGAGGACGCAGCGGAGTTTCTCCCACGCTCCTGCTGCTCCCCGCAGCCGTTGTCGCAGTTTTTGCTTTCATTGGCGCCAACTGGCCATGGAGAGTATGGTAGTGGAGAGAAGGCCGACGCATCCGGCGTCTCAGATGCTATGGCAAGTTCTTTTTCGCCTTTTCGTGGCGTAGCAACGGGCGATGTCCACAATGTTGGCTCCTCATCTTGCTCCCTTTCCTGCTTCTGCCTTTTCCCAGCCGCACCGCGGCGTCTCTCACCCAACTGTTTTTGCCCTTTTCCGTTGCTCACACCCCGGCACCTGGTCTCCCCCGGTAAATCCATCCTCGCTGGTTGGCGCACGATGTATGTGTATGGCCCCAATGAGAATAACGCGTTGGAGGAATTGAGAGGCGTTGATAGGCGTCGGCTTGCCGTTTTGGGTTGTCCAAGAGACTTACCCAGCCCGAGGTGGTGGTTTTCGGCGTCACGACATGGTCGCACCCTTGTGGTTGCATTCCCTCTTGAAACCATAAATAAGTATGCGTGCGTCGTACACCGACTCTGTGCCCCCTCTCTCCCTCCCTCCCTCCCCGGTTCTCTGCTGTCCAGCACCACGATCTGCACGACCTATGTCTTCTACACGTAGAGCGAGTCACATGAAAGAGAAGCACCATGCAAGAAACAGGAAAAGGAGGGCAGTGGAATAAAGCTCAATAATAATAATAATAATAATAAATGTGTATATATGTATGTATGTATATATATATATATAAATAAATAAACAGCAAACACCTCGTACCACCTGCTGCGTCCTCATCTCCATACTTCCTTCACAAGGTCCACTGCTTTTGTTCCGTTTTCGCTTTTACTTTACGCACCTCTGGATTTGTGTCAATTCACGTTAAAGCTGCATTTTCTTTTTCCCCTCCCCTCCCCTCCCCACCTTCCACCCTTCTCACACCGATGACCCTTTTCGCACCTCTTGAAACCCCTTCTCACCACTGTTCCAAAAAAAAAAAAGAAAAAAAAGAAAATGATAAAACAACACACACACAAACAAAGAAATGGAGGAATGAGGTGTGGAGGGGAGCCAGATCGCCATAAAATGGGTGGTGGAGGTTTGGGTGAGAGGCAGAGTGAGAGGGCACGATGACCGAAATACAACCGATACCATAGGAGGAAGAAAATGGGAAACAAATTAAGAAAGGCGACGGGAGACGTGCTATGCGTCTAGGCATGTGTGGGAGAAAGGCCATGAATCTTTTTTTTTCTATGTGCATTCCTCCTCGTCTCGCCCATCCACCTTTTCCCCAGTCTAGTCCAGAAACACAAAAACAGCAAAAGTACAAGAATACCAGATGCAAACAACCTCCACGTTTTGCTCCTCCCCCTCATCTCCAGCAGTCCTCTCACTATGAGCCGTGTGCACCTGTGACATCTTTTGTTAAATATTTTATTCTTCTTTTCTACGTTGTGTTGTGTTTCCTCTTTTCCACCCTCCATGACGCGCCTTGTTTGTTTTTTTCTGTTTTTGTTTTTTGTTTTTGTTTTGCTTTCTTCTATTCATTTTTCCTTCTTTTTTTGTTTTTGTTTTTACCTCTTGCGCCGGCCATCCATATCCCGCTGACGACGTTGGCGGGCGTCCTCCCTGCGATCCTCGTACCGGTCGGTGGGTCCTGGGCCGTTGGCACCAACCTCACCGCCCTTGACACGCCGTTTCTCGCGCTCTTCCTTTAAAACATATCGCCCTCTGTATGCCTCGTTGGAGCCACTACCAGCGTTGGCGGCTGACGTTCTCTCCCTGCCGTATCCTCGCTCAGCCTTTACGTCCCGCTCCCTGTCCCTGTCCCTGTCCGAACGTGGCCTCTGATGACTCGATTCCCCATGACGGCGACGACGGCGGCGATTCTCCTCCTCATCCGCTGGATGGTAGCTACCGTGCGACCGTCGCTCATGATGTCTTGCCTCCTTGTCGTCGTCCCGTTCGCGTTTTCGACGCCCACTGGGGTCTTCTTCACGTCTTCTTTTTGATGCCGCATCGCGACGAGGGCTGCGACGGCGAGAGTTGTGACGACGGTGCGTTCGGCGTCGACTATTGTTGTTGCTGCCGCTTCTGCTTCGGCTGCGACGGCGGTGACGCGACAAGGTTTTCCTTTTCCCGCCATCGCCATCCGCTTCGCCCCCCTCACGACGATGCCGCTGCTGGTGCCGCAGTGGAGACGTGCTTGCACTCGAAGGTTCCCCCTGTGTAAGAGGAAAACGACGAGGAGGATCTCCCGCTGTCGCTGGAGCTCTCACTATCAAGAAACAACTTCGCCGCCGCCGCCGCTGTTGTGGCGCCCGGTGCGGCGAGCACAGAGTTGCCGTAATGCCCACCACTAATGGGTCGGCGGTGGCTGTGGTGATGTTGCTGTTGACTGCCAAGGAAGGGCGGGGGGCCATGCGCGCCGGGCATCTCGTGTGCCAGCAAGGCATCTGAGCCACCCCCCGCTGTGAATGGCGAGCTGCTGGAGTTATTAGGGAAGATGGCGTAAAACTGTTCCGGGTGGTCCCGCATCGCTGCATCCCAACCGATGAAGTTAAAATACTCAAGCCATTCTTGGCGGTAGATCCGTTCCTTAGTCTCCTTGTCGTACTCAGGGGGAATGACGTCCATTTAACCCCTTTCCTACCGAGATGAAGATGTTAAATACGTGTGTGTGTGTGCGTGTGTGTGTACGCGTGTGTGTGTGTACGCGCCTGGCGTGATGGCTGCGGTGACTCCCGTTTTTTTTTTTCCTGTGGGTCTGCGGCCTCTCTCCCAACGTTTTCTGCTTACTGTTCTGCTTTAGGTGAAACACACGCGCCCACTCGCACAAGGGTTCGCCACGGCAGCGTCAGCTCTCTCGTTGAGACTATTCTGCGGTCTTCCGTAACAGTCTCCCTCGTCTTGGGAAAAGAGACGCAGAATAGGGAGAGGAGAGAACGAACACGAAATCACCAGAAAATAATAATAATAAAATTGAGATTGATAAAGAAGAAACACACACGCACATGGTAACGCATGTGAAAACAACAACAACAAACAAACAAACAAACAAA